ATTGTAGTTTAAGTTGAATCCAACTTGTGAAGCGTTACTGGTTTCAAGGAATATAAATATTGTTTCCGAATAAGCTCCATTGTTGGATTAACTTAGGTTTATTAATTTTGTGATATGTTATCCCTATTTAGGTTTGTTAACATGAAGATTTGTAAAGTATACTTGTTTTTCAGTAGAAATAGCCACTCAGTTTATTTTCGCTAACCAATATTCACGTGAAGGCGAGCTTAATAAAGTGTGTCACATACACTGCTATTAGAAAGCCACTCTGAAACGGGGAAAACAAATACGATGACGAGAGTAGTGTGATGATGTTTTGAATTTGGAAATGAATTGAAACGAATGACGACTTGAATACAGATTCAGTAGTAAACTAGAAGCCCTGACAGTGTTGAATTCAGGATACGAGAAGATAAAAGGAAAGTAGGGATCCGGATTTTGTTGCGTGATATCGTCTATAAAAAGACATGTTTATATTCAGCAAAAAGAGAGATGTAATTAAATCAGTCCAAAGAATAACCCTATCAAACAGAATCTGCTCTTATCAAAGGAAGAAACGAAACCATATTACCCATACATGCTGTAAAAGAATCCCGAGAAATACAAAATAATAAAATTGGAGTAATTAAGCATAATCACGATTTTCATAATATCAATAGGAAGCTTGATAACGATTTTCATAAGATCATAAAGAAACAAAGCATATATATGTAACAAAATAGCAAAATTGTTCTTGGACGGCATTAATAGAAATTCGCCTTCTCTCTTCAAAAGATCTCTTCGTAACCATATACAGACATCCCACGATTAATACATTTTCGATTATTGCGTTAAAATTCTTATATACCAAAATTCGATTAGTGCAGGCATAACACTCAATTAATGCAGTAAAACATTCTCCATTTTAACCATAGTCATTGAAAATTGATTTTTTTTTATATTTGCCGATGTACAAGCTTGCCGCACTGATCGAAAGATTACTGTGATTATCTTTCAGTTTCTTTTTTGTAGTTATTTTAAAATTTATATTCAGTTGCTTTCATGAATTACAGTTTTAAGATCCCGTATAAATATATTTGTCACTTTTATTACAAATAATGGTTTCCATAATTAATATTTTACTATTTCACATTATTACTACTTCAGATCACCTGATGGGATAATCGACAACGAATCTATTTACTCTATTTTTAAGATAAATATTATATTGTATACTGTTACCATACCTGGCATGTACATCTCATGATTCTTGTTAAAATCCAAAGAGGGTTGTGTAAAGCAATCGATCCTGACCTGGAATCTCTACTCCAATTACATTCTCACCGGCGTAGCTTACTTTTGTCTGTTCTACAAATATTTTCATGGTAACTCTTCTGGTGAGCTTTTTCCTTTCGCCTGGTGCCCCGACTCTATGAATTTAAACTTGTTACTAGATTGGCAACTAGGTCCCATCATTGAAACAGCAATCTGAAACCGTCCCTTCTTCTGTAAGAGTTCTATTTCTCACCCTTCCTAATCCTTCCCCGTCTTGGGTATGACGATAAACTATATCCGCGTCCTAGGTAAGACGATAAACTACGTCCAACAGTAAACCCTCTGATCAGGAGTGTTTGAGGAGCGTGGAAGCACCTCTTAATTGCTGGCATTCACAGGTCCACGCTGACACGGTGTGGTGGAACCTGTTAGGGTCTCTGCTATGGGCAAATAGTTGATACCCAAACTTGTGTAAAAAATAGGTTTTAATACCAGAAATTCTTTGTCATAAAAAACATTACCACCAATAATTTTTGAAGGAAAAATTATTATCAGCAATACTTTAAAAACAGTACCAGCAATACAAATAGCTATGCATTCTTTGAAAAAAATATGACCAGTTATAGATTTCACCAAGGAAAAATATTCCCAGAAATAGAATTTTGAAAAAAACCTATTACCAGAAATAAAAATTTTGTCGGCATGAAATAACCCATTGCGGGTTGATATTCCGTAAAACAAACCAAACCCAATCCTTCCTGATTTCTTGCTCCTCTGATAACGACAATCTTCAAAAATGAAAATGACACGTCAATCGCCATCTTCTGTCCTCATGAAACTTGTTACTTTTTGTCCTTTGCTCAACTTCCGCACCCCCTTATCATTCTTTTTCACTTTCACTACCTGTAACCGCCTGCGACCTAGTCTTATTTTCGCCTTGGCTAGTGGGAAGGGGACGATTAAAAAATATCGCCATACGTTCAAAGTTTAATGTAAACGTCAGTTTGCTTGTTATTGGGTTGGTGCATAATTATCAGGCGTTTTCAAATGATATTTATTATGAAAAAAAGAAACATATCAATTCAACAATAACATTTTTAAATGATTATTCCGGAGCGGATGATTATCGACACGCATTTTTATTACCTGAAAATAAAATAATGTTTTCTTAAAAAAAAGTAAACAAATTTATTAACAAATAACTCACCTCCAAAAACGCCGGATAATTATGCACCAACATAATATTTAAGCTAAATCTCCAGTGTTTGTCTTGTCGATTTTAGGAATAGTTCGAATATCCAACGGATAACACGACTATGTATTTATTGATTTATTAATCATTTCACCCCAAGCAAGGCAATAAAGCCCATAGGCGCGGGAGATTTCTGAGTGCCAAAGAATATAAGAAGAAGAAAAAAAATTATTATGATGAGACCACAATAATAGAAGATGGATTAAGAGGACTAAAGATAACGATAGTATTCCGATGTATTTGTACTTTCTATTCAACGTTCAAAAAATTTTTAAAATAGCATTAAAAATTAAGTCTTTGAACCCTCTCGTGCTCATTTGAACATTTCCTGATTCAGCATTTCAAACACAATCTCAAGGTATACAGATGACAGAATGTCGATAACAAAAGAAAGCTACAAAAGCATCAAGAGAAGGTAATGAAGGAAAGCAGGAAGAGAAGATTAAACAGGAACTTCAAGAAAATAGAACAAAAAAATAGGTTGTTGGCAAAAGGGTGAGCCTGTTGTAACCTAGGAAGTGTTTCTGAATAAGAAATAATTAAAACAGATGTTGGAAATGAATGGTGATCTTTATAACATCAACAAAATACAATACGCGCCAGCGGCGTGAAGAAGGTAAACCACTGCTACTGGTGGACTACTTAGACAGCATATTTGTATTTACTCAACTTATGACATAAGGTTGGTTTAATGTGCGGAGCCCGAGCGCGTACACCCGGGCAAGGAACAAAAATTCACCGATCCCCCGCAACCGTCGGTTGCGCTGGCTTTGTTGCGTGCACAGATCCTTCTTTCTAGTGCAATGAGAAGGCGCGGCCTCGGGCAGCTGTTCCCCAGGGCCGGCACCTCTCTGTATAACTTTCCTCAGTTGCGACTCTGTCCCTTGACGGAGTCGCTCCTGAGTGCACTCTGCCCAAAGACAGAGACGCAACTGAGAGATGATAAGAGATGATAAAGAGTAATTTATAAGTTCAACTAAGACGGAATAATACTTCCACTTACAATAGTGCCCAACGTATTTATGAGGATTGGGATATACCCATTAGTGTTCATACGTACCGTATAAAACAGAGCCCAAAGTGCAAATCAGAGATACCAAAATCAAACAAGTGCGGAAATTTAAATATCTGGGGAGGGGTTTAACAGATGCCGGAAAGTGTGACACTGATATCCGAAGACGTATTGGGATATCCGATGAAGCATTCCAAAAGCTAAGCAGAGTACTAAAGAATAGAAACATTTCGCTAAATACAAGGAAAATTGTGCTGAACTGCTACGTGATATCTGTCCACTTGTATGGCACTGAGTGCTGAACGATTTCTTCAAACATGAAGAGGAAACTTAAAGCAACAGTAATGCCGTTCTACAGAAGGATGCTTAGTATAAAATGGACCCAACATGTGAGCAATTATTATAATTTGGAGATAAAACGAAGGAAACTAATACTCAATATCAGGAAGAGACAGTTGAAGTTTCTGGGGCAGATAATGAGGAAAGTTGGCTCACGAGTCAGATAAAGGGCAAGAAAAATAGCTGGCCACTCGTGTCCGAGGATTCTCGTCTACAGAGCCCATCTGTGCTTTATACTGCATCTATGCTGAGTAGACATTATTTACAGTTTCTTGGAGAGAGAGCATTATCTGGCGTGATCAAGGATAGGACGCTCAAGCTCTCAGTCACGATGAATTGTGACTTCAACTATCGACGACATCCAGAAAGTTCCGTCTATCCAATTTCACTCAAGAGGCTTGTTTCAACTCGGGATATGGTTTTTAGAAACTTTTCAAATGGGCCGTACGTTAGGCTTGCCTCCCAAGAGCGATAACATCAAGGTTACCTTCCTGACAAATCGACTATGTTGAGATTCTAAGACGGGTCTCATGGTCAAAGAGCGAGCATTGTAATGACTCGGCTACCTGCCCATATAGAGGGCAAGAGGAACAGAGAAAAACAACACATAATATTAATTAGTGTGCTTAAATATATGGGTGGTGGAACAGGGCTTAGGAGAAATAAAAGAAATACAAACTTTATTAAGAACTACAATGCGCAGGAAGTTGTGGAGATCCATAATCGTCTACGATTTTCCTGAAGACATAAAGAAGAAAATTCAACTTTCCGATAATTCTATCAAAACCGCATTCATTTCTGTCACCCACGTTTTTCGTACTTTATCAAAAGCAGAGAACGTTATACTGAAACTCACATTCTATCAATGGTGTTCGGGCTTTATTTGACAGTCTACTATTTTATTTTTTCTGATTAGTTTGGAGTACCTGTAAACAGTGATTGGCATTGTGACACCTATACACTACAGTTTTAGAGGTGTCAATGTTAATTGAGATGGACGAGTGAAAGCCACCTGAACATTGGAAAAGGGTAACCAGCGTCATGATGATTCGTGCAAGGCATCAAAATGCCGCAATCAGGACAGCTGCTCTCGTGAAAAATATAAGTCGTTAAAAAGAGAGCTTCGACGGAGACTACGAGACCATGGCTTGTAGGAACGAACACAGCAGACGTTCTAATTGCCTCTATCTACCAGGATGCATCCAACAGCTGAAGGAGAAAGTGATGGAAGACACCGGCAAAGGGAATGCAGGCTTTGGCACAAGAAATGAAGGTAGCAATTTCTGCCATGAAGCTGGCCATGAATAAGAACGTCCGCTATCAGTCTTGCAAGAGGTGTAATGGTCAACTTACAGAACAGGCTTAAGAAAACTGTCAGACATGGTGAAATATCCTGTTGAACAATGGGCAATCTGGTTCTTCTCTGATTAAAATGTCTTTTGGTGGGATGAACAGCACAACACACAGAACAACAGATAGAATGCCTACAATGCATATGCCGTCCTTCGTATCATGAAGACCGAGTTTCCCCAAACTGATGCCTTTGGTTGTGTCTCCAGCGAGGGTGACATCATGCCACCTCACATCTTTGAACTTAGTCTCAGGCTCAATTAAGATGGCTATTTGAAGTTACTGAACACTGCTGTCAAGGATTAGTTGGAGAGGAGGGCTACTTGAAGGCCATATTTATCGCAGCAACATTCAGCTTCCTGCCAAACCTCCAGGAAGAGTCAGAAGTGGTTTCCAGATAATTTTAACGACTTCGATGATTGGCCCACTAACTCCTCTGTTTTTAATCACCTGGATTATTATGTGTGGGTGCGGTGGAGAAAGACACTAACCCCACAGCTTGTAACACCAAGCCCAGCTGATCGACAGGATTAAGGAGACATTTGGGGCTCTTACTAAGGAAACCGTGCCGGTTGCATGTGCCTGATTCGGGGGTCAGATCGAAGCTGAAAATTGTGGTACATGTTGAACGTGGCTTCTTTGAGTGAATTGTCTTTTGAGTATTATAACCTGTATTTAACATTTCTCGTTTAACATTACATTGATTTTTGGCTTAGATATTCAAATTTAGCCCAAATATTCTCTATGTACCTTAATTATTATTGTTTTTTGGAATGTTTTTAATTCGTCTCTATAAAATAGCTTGGTAAGATATTTTTTTTAAACAGTTAAGTTATATTTTTCTTCATGAAGCAATTAAATGTTTTTGTTCGCTATTTAAAATAGGAATCGTGATTTGAGTCCTTATGTAATTATACTTCGGTAGTCATATATTTCCTCCATTGCCTCTAGTCTGATTTTTCTATCTGGTTGGTTAGTTATACTCTCTCTCTCTCTCTCTCTCTCTCTCTCTCTCTCTCTCTCTCTCTCTCTCTCTCTCTCTCTCTCTGAGAACGTGGTTAGAACGTCCGCATTCTGACCATGAGACCCGGGTTCAAATCCAACCATAGTCAATTTTTCGGGAAGGAGACTACCTGATGTTATCTGACTGGAGGATTCGATACCTGCGTCGTGCGGGGCCTTTGGAAAGTGCCTGAAAATCATACCACGGTTTGACCTGAGCCTTGTGAGTGAAATTGGATACATCGAACCCTTGGGGCCGTTGATAGCTGTGAAGTCACAAGTTATCGTCGCCGAGGGCTTGAGCGGGCTGGCCTTGTTCAAATTGTTGATCACGCAAGATCTTTCCCAGAAACTGTAACAAAGGCCTGCTCAGCATAGTTGCAGTATAAACCTAAGGTGAGATCTGTGGGTGTTGAACAAACACAAACACGCCTGAGCAAGCGTATGCAATAGGGATTGGCTAGCCGCTCTACTCAGACGTGTATTAACGTATACGAATACGAATGGGCAGCTAGACACACACAGGTATATATATATATATATATATATATATATATATATATCCTATATTATATATATATATATATCTAGTCTGATTTCTCTTTCTGTTTGGTCAGTTATATTGTTGTCATTTTGCTTTTCTCGCTTTCTCTCACTCTCCCCATCTCTGTGTAATCATCTCTCCCGCTTTATCTCTTTCTCTCGTCATATCCCATATCTACCCCCCACTATTTTCATATATGTCTTTTTCTGTATATTTCACTTCCGTTTTATTTTATCATCTTTCTCCCCTCTTTCTCCATATGTCACTATCCATCTCTTTTCTACTATTTTGCTTTCCTCCTCTCTCTATCTTTCTGCCTCTGTATCTTTTTCAATCATCCCTTCTCTCCGCTTCTCTATATATACAGGGTGAAAGTGAAGTCATTAAACAGTTATTTACAATAGAAATTAAGACAAAGCAATTAGTTAACAGTCCAGAAATTTATTATTAAAATAGTTCTAGATAATAAGAATAAAATGCTATGGTAAGCAATAGTAAATTAATTACCGATAATGTTCGAACTGCAGGCCACCTGCTTTTATCTAATTTTTTTTTTATTATAAGTAACTATATAGTGAGTTTAATGCCAATATATATATATATATATATATATATATATATATATATATATATATATATATATATATAGAAGAAGAAGAAAACCTTAGTTTCATTTCGGTTTATAATTTATTTCGTGAATATCTATATATTCTCTCTTCAGACCGAAAGATTTTTAGTAAATAATTTCGCTCTGTAGAGATTTTTTTAAGCATTACGCCCCGAGCAAGGCGTGAAGCCACTAGGATGCAGGGTGTTGCATAAGATTACGAGCAAGAGCAGATAGGAGTGATAGAAGAAAGGATGAGGAGAAGGATTATAGCTCGCAGAGAAACAGTAATTGGGGAGGGTGTTCCACAGGCGAGAGGTGCGAAGTATGAAGCTATTGGAGTAGAAGAGACGGCTACATTTAAAAGTTTCTACAGTGTAAGGGTGGGAGCGGGATGCCAGCCTCGTAGGGCGCTTGAATTCCTGGAGTCTGGGAACCAGTGAAAGCAGCTCATCGGAGCAATTACCATGAAAGTATTTGTAAAAAAGACAGAGAGAGGCGACGGCGCGTCTATCAGAGAGTTATTGTAGACGAGACGCCAGATCAGGGCCAATTACATATCCGTCTCTGGATCTTGTCAAGAACTCCGAGGTAAACAGAAGGTGCACCACACCATATATGGATGAAGATAAAAAACATTCACGGAATAAATTATAACCGAATGAATCTTTAAGGTTATCTTCTTGATTATTATTATTATTATTATTATTATTATTATTATTATTATTCTCTGTAGTTTACATTGAGCTCTCCCTGGATTAATACCCACTTGGAATAATGCTTTGTATCTGTTTCCAACTCTCCTTCTTCCCCCCCCTTCTCAATATATACAAGGTGGCAATAAAGGCACTATAGAGTTATTACAATAACAATTATGACAATATAATTAATCAACAGTTCAGAAATTTATTATTAAAAAGGTTCCGGTGAATTCTGATTGATATCAATAAAATGCTATGGTAAACAATAGTAAATTAATTACCGATACTGTCGGAGCTGCAAGACATCTGTATCAATGCTTTGCTTTTTTTATTATAAGTAAGTGCATAGTACTTTATTGCGCTCTGTATATGCTTATATATATATATATATATATATATATATATATATATATATATATATATATATATATATATATATATATATTTTTTACATACGGACAAAACAACTTAATCAGTACAAAAATGCACCCTTGTGTCGATGCACATGAATCTCGATCGCATTTTTGGTTCTCACCAGTTGAGATGCATGCACATCGAAACAAGAATGCATCTTTGTAGTAAGTCGTATTGTCCGTATATAAAACTTATTATGAATAATTATTGCTCTACTCTTCGTATTGAGCCTTTTTTTGAATTAATGTTGTGAACGTTAGAATTTATATTATTTTCGCTCGTTCGTTTATATATATATATATATATATATATATATATATGGAAAACGAAATCAAGTCCATTTCATGCTTGAACGCAATCTTCAGGTCATGAATTACGTGATTGGCAGGTAAGTTTCATCATTTTATACTTAGAATTACTCGATGCAGCTGTTAGTTCTATGAGTTAGAGTTTCTTCCCTTGCACTGTATTCTTATATTCTATTACAATTTAATTTAAATGCAATGTCAATAGTCAAGTTACGTCTTCTTAATACGTTTTCTTTTATTGTTCTCTCTCTTTAATAATGTTTACGTTTTTCTCAGATTCGCACTCAATAACCCCCTCCGACTTCGTGGCTGTTAATGTTCTGGAGAGATATAATTTTAAAAAGGCATGATGCCCAAATCTGTCATCTTATATATCGTTTTTTATCATTGTAGTGAGAACACACGAAATACAGAAAAAATCTCTTGTGGTAATAGCACCAGAATGTAATTGTTCTTTTAAGAGGTTAATGCCAATAAAAGATAAATAAATCACCCAAGCTTGTACAACTATAAAGTCTTCAACTTTATTCATTATGTCAGACCATAAGTCCATGAAATAAGAACAGGAATGCAATTGTCTTGTATAAATCGGCTACTTTACAAGTTTTAACTTAGTTAAATTCAGTTAAACTCACTTTGGATTAGCGAATATAAGTAAATTTAAGTAAATCTAAGAGACAGAGAAAGATTTGGCCAATAAAATTTAGTCTAATGCTCATCATAAACTCGGTCATGCGGAGATATGCTTTGCGTTGCACTGACCAAACTTCCATTGTGCAGTTATCAGGTATATTTTTCCTTTTTAACAGAATTAGGTTTGAAGCTGTTTTTTCTGTCTTTTCTGCTTTTAGATTTCAAGACAATCAATGGCAGAAATATATGATAAATAACTTTGAATTACTCACAATTAATTTTATTATTATCCTCATTATTATTATTATTTTGTTGTTGTTGTTGTTGTTACTGGTTTAACCCGTAGAAATACACGGTTTTCCCTGTTTGAAATTTCTGATTAATCTTAATTCTTCAGTTAATGATTGAATAAGCATATGGTGAGTTCCCTCATAATATAATGCCTGTACAAATTCCTCTATTGCGGCGGTAAATATTTGAGCTTAACAACATTAACAAGGTTATGCAATAAAAATCGCAAATAAGAATGTTAGTCGTTATTCTGACAAGGGGGTACAAATGAAAAGATCTGAGAATTAAACAACTGTTTCCATTTAATTGAAACAAAGGTTAAACACTTCTATTTTCACTTCTTACCTTCAGTTTCTCACTGAAACGAAGTGGCGTCATTGATATGACATTAGATTTTTCCCGTGATGAAAACAGAATAGTCCATTATTTATGAGACATTCATAAGAGATATTAAACACCAATATCTTTTTTGCTTTCTTTTATTTACTGAAACAAAGCAGTGCTTCTGATATTTATTTTGTCTTCCGACGCAATCAAAAGGAAATAGTCCATTATTTATAAGCTATTTCAGTGCGTAACATTAAGCGAACTAAATACCTAACGAAGCTAAAACACAATTAGTGTTATTATAATCTTTATTATTACTATTATTATTATTATTATTATTAGTAGTAGTAGTAGTAGTAGTAGTATTTTATTATTATTATTTCCTTGGATTTCTGTTGTATAAACATTTCCTTCAGGGTCCCAAACGAAGACCTAAGGTCAGAAATGGGCTAATGACATTTTCGAGTGATCATTTACATAAATATAACTCTTCGTATGATGCGAGTTGTACTTGTGAGTAAAATTTTTTCATATCTTTATGGCATGAGATACCAGGAATCCTTTCATTGAGTCTATCGGAATCTTTTCTAAACAATCCAAGTCCTCCAACTACGACTGGAATCATTGATGTACTCATGTACTGCACTTTTGTGATTGCCTCTTCAAGATCCTTGTATTTTGATAGTTTATAGAGGCTATTCAAATATACATTACAATTTCCATGGACTGTCATGTCAATAAGAAAGCACATTCTGTTATTCTGGTTTTGATCACGGCGTCTAATCGATTAGATTTGATAATTCTGTCCGTGTGTAAAGTCCCATAAAATTGTTTCATGTCCTATTTCTTTAACCGGGCCTGGGTGATGTTCATCTGATACCAGATTCTTGCAGTTTCGAACCCATAAAAGTTGCATATTTTTCTAGTGCATATATTGACCCACTGTATCATGCTGAGTTTATATATTTAGTGGCTGCTAAGAAAATAAAAAAAAAGTATAAAATTACTATCAAATATATGAGAACATTTTTTGTTAAAAGTCTTTGAATTATAAATAATAGAAGAAAATGAACCAATAATAAAAGTGGTAGTCGAAAGAAAATAACAAAACGCTATTCTTACAAAATTTGAAAATATGTCCTCGTCTATAAAAATGTTACGTTATTTTACATTGCAATCAATAAATAAAATAAAGGCTTAATCATAAAATTATAGGCAAATGTCGTTAAAAATGTTTGAATGATAAATGATAGAGAAAGAAATCAACAATGTTATACGAATAGTCAGAGAGAAACAAAACCAAACAAACATTCCCACTCTAAATTCTTTTCCTACAATTTCGAAATTTACGTCCTGTTTCATAAAAAATAGAATCGGTTAAAGATTAGAATTATTCGTGTCCATGTATAAGTAATTCAACAAATAAAATGTTAAATGCTCTTAATATAATAATTCTAAGTGATACATTCATTTAATCGATTAGTCTTACTAAATAAAACTTATTTTAAAAATGAAAAATGCTCGTATACCACTACTTAACTTAAAAGTAATCAAATATATACTTTAAAAAATTAAATAATTAAAAAATAATTTTAATAATTAAAAATTATAAATACATAATAATAAAATAAACTTATAATACAGGGTGTCCCCCAAAATGGCATAATTTAAAATGTGAATATATGAATAACTCGATGTCACGGGCAAAAGAATTTAAGTATATTCATCAAAATTCGAACAAGATATTCAAAGGGATTTACATTTTATAACCAATTTCACAACGCTTCACAAATGTTCAATATGAACACCACATGTGACACGACAAGTCGGTAGTCCAGTTCCTGCTAAACAGGCTGTAGCATGTCTTGCGTACCATTTTTCAGCGCCTTTGATTTTTTTTTATATATAATACTAGCAGTAGAGCCCGGTCTTGCCCGGGGATGTAACAGTAAGGGATAGATCAAGTATCGACCATCATAAAGACTGAAAAATAAAATTGACAAAGATTGTTGTTTAAGGTTGACGGACACGCATGTTTTA